GCCAAAGGAAGAGGGTGGGCTGGGCCGCCCAGACATAGAATTGTACCACAAGGCTATCCTATTATCTAGGGTATATGACTGGTCCAAGCCACACTCTGATAAACAGTGGGTATAGCTGGAAGATGCCTGCTTCCAAACAGCCGATTTATCCCATTCCCGTGGCATAAAGCAGGACTGGCTTTGCTGCATCACCACACACACCCCACCATAACTCCTACACTTCGAATGTGGGCGCATATGCAAAATCACCAGCAGATGTCTCCATACCCCTCACCATTATACCCAATCACACACAACCCACTGTTCCCAGACACCTTCCTCTTCCTTCTCCCACATCACAGGATCCCCAAAGCTAAGGTACCATTACTCCTACACCTCATAGCGGCTACCAATCACATGATTCTACTATTTTGGAAAAAAAAACAATCCTCCATCTATAAGGGACTGGATACAGAAGGTAGAAATCACTAGGGTCATGGAAGAAATCTGCTTTTCTCACTCTAACAATTACCACACCTACACCTCCACGTGGTATAGATGGTGCAGATACCTACAAAATAAACAATCCTGAGGATATACTGCTGTTTAACTATAACATGACCGATGGGATTTACATATATGGTAACTTGGTGAACCAAACAAATTGATTACTACTGTATTAACCTTCACATGAATAAGTAATACTATGTTTGATGGACTCATTACCTTACTGTTAAACAATTTTTACACTGTTAACATTATTATATAACCTGTACTGTTACTTTTGCAAAATAAAGATATTAAATAAAAAAAAAAAAAAAAAAATGGAAGGCCTGCGTGTGGGCCAAATTTTCAATCCAGCAATCAAAAGTATAGCTGGGCTCGCCTCTGTGTCATACGTTGGCATATGCAGCATGTGATTCGAAATCACCAAAAACAAAAATAATAACAAATACAAAACAGTGCAGAACACTAAATAGTTATCAGCCTTCTCCTTACTTTGGGGAGAAGAGAAAAAAAAAACCCTCTTAACCACCACTCCACTGGGTCCATGTGCATCCATCTAATGTCAGGGGATCCATTGGTATTACATAAGTGATAGTCTCTCAGAGACTTTGGTCGTCCATCCATCTCCTCCCTTTGAGTCGGTCAATGCTTCTTCAATGGGTATCCAGTGTCGCAGCGGGCAGTTTGATGTCTGGCTGGCCCACATGACCGCAATCCCCAAAGGGCCCCACGGGTCAGTATGCCTCTGCACCTCCACCACTTCACCAGACTACCAGCATTTAATATTATGGGCCTCCACAGGTTGCCCCCTCACCGGCCTCTCAACTGAGGTGGGTGGCGTGCAGAACCACATCTACCGGAGGCCCCGCACCCCCAGCTTCGGGGCAAACATTCTCCAGGCCCTCCTTTGAAGCCCAAACTCCACTGACATATTCAGCTGTTGGTTCAGGAGGTACAGCAGTAAATTTTTGGGCCCCTGACACAGCTCAAGTTCGGGGCCCAGCACCGAGTCCACCCACAGACCATGCCCCCAAGTCCACCCTCAGGGCCCATCCTGAGTCCACCCACAAGGATGAAGTGTGTGTGTACTGAATGTTGTGTGTGTATGGAGGATGTAGAATGTGTACAGTGGATGCAGAGTATGTGTGTCATGGATGCAGTGTATATAGTGGATACAGATTGTATGTTTGTGTAATGTATGTAGTGTTTGTGTGTATTATTATTATTGTCGGTATTTATATAGCGCCAACTAATTCTGCTGCGCTTTACAATATTATGAAACAAGTACATGAGGCATTACAATACATTGACACAGAAACACTAGGTAGATGAGGACCCTGCTCAAACAAGCTTACAGTCTAGATGAGGTGGGGTTCAAGTGCACAACAGGGCAGCAAGGGTGACAGCCACCAAACAAGGTGGAAAAGTAGCAGAGCTGGAGGTGAGAGTGGAGTAGGGCTCTTTGGGAGCAGAAGACAGTCTTGGGTAAGTACAGATAGTTACTCTGCGAGTCCTATCTGAAGAGATGTGTTTTGAGGGACTTCTTAAACAATTGAAGACTAGGGGAGAGTCTGATGGGGTAGGCAAGCTGTTCCAAAAGAAGGGAGCCGCCCGCGAGAAGTCCTGCAAGCGCGAGTTAGCAGTAAGGGTGTATGCAGCGGACAGGTGAAGGTCAACGGCAGAGCGGAGAGGCAGAAATCAAGGAAAAAATGTAAGAGGGGCTAGAGTTGGTTAGAGCTTTATAGGTAAGGGTTAGTATTTTGAATTGACACCTATATGATACAGGAAGCCAGTGTAAGGATCGACAGAGGGGCGAGGTATGGGAGGAACGACGGGTGAGAAAGATCAGCCTGACAGCAGCATTCATTGCCAATTGTAGAGGGGCAGTTCGGCTTTTGGGGAGACCCTGAATTACAGTAATCCGTGCAAGAGATTACCAGAGCATGAACAAGCTCCTTGGCAGCATCTTGCGTGAGAAAGGTATGCAGGCCATATTTTTAAGGTGGAATCGACAGGTTTTAGCAACATACTGGATATGTGGGGCAAAGGTGTGGCCAGGATCAAAGATAACACCAAGGCAACAAGCTTGCAAGGATGGACTGAAGCAAGCACCATCAACTTGTAGGGAGAGCGTAGGAGGGGGATCAGCATTATGAGGGGGGGGAATAAGAAGCTCAGTTTTAGAGAGATTGAGTTCCAGAAAGTGGGAGGACATCCAATCAGAAATAGAAGAAAGGCAAGCAGTGACACGTTGCTGGACTGCAGGGGAGAGATCAGGGGAGGAGAAATATATCTGGGTGTCTTCGGCATACAAATGGTAGCGGAATCAAAAGGAGTTAAAGAATCACTATAGGGTCAGGATCACAAACATGTATTCCTGACCCTATAGTGTTAAAACCACAATCTAGCCCTCCTGGGCCCCTCATGCCTCCATAAATATAGAAAAATCTTACTGTATTCAAGCCTGAAGCTGTAGATTTGCATGCTGTTTGCCTCAAAAAAACAAGCAGTCTGCTGACATAATCAGAAGTGGTATCCTGATCCAATCACAATGCTTCTCCATAGGATTGGCTGAGACTGACAAGGAGGCAGATCAGGGGCAGAGCCAGCATGATTCAAACACAGCCCTGGCCAATCAGCATCTCCTCATAGAGATTAATTGAATCAATGAAGCTCTATGTGGAAAGTGTGGCGAAAGTAAACTCGCCACTGGTTTTTGGAGGGACCTGTTTGCCAGCCTCCTGCCCTGCGACTATGGCCCTGGGATGTATTGCCCTTCTAGGAACTGATGTGGGCATACTTGAGGCTTATATTGCTGTACCTGGCCCTTTAATGCCCAAATAAAGGATTTTGTACTTTTAAACTGGCACTTCGGATGCAGTCGAAGTGGCCACCATTCGAATACCGAACACGTGGCGGCGGCCATTTTAACTCACTCGAAGGCGGTCAGCGGTGTGTGCAGCCAAAATCTATGGAACTGTTTTCGGCTACCCAATTGCACGAACACTGCTGACCCATACGTTCTACTCTACTTCGACACTGCGGCTGGAGACTAAGTCCCGTTCGAAGATTCGAACGCTCGTTCGAATGGGACTTAGTCATTTTCTCAGTGTAAAATATACCGACCGCACAGCCCAAATCCATGGAACTGTTTGGGCATGAAAATGTGCTTGCGGTCGGTCAAAAGTGACTTATATGTATCTCCCGAACGGCTGAATGGATTTGAATGATTATTGGGTATGTTTGTATTTGGAATGTGCTGATTAATAATATGTAACTTTAATTAATTAATATTGGATGTATAGTTTTGGAGTTATGTAAGCTGGGTAAAAAGTATGTTTTAAACTGTACGGATAATTGGGTTACCTCTCAGGCTAAGGGGAGGAGATGTGTGGGATGTAACCATTGTGTGATTGGGTATTGTATAATTGTCTGTGGGTGTCTCTCTTGCATGAGAGAATTGCATAAAAGCAGAGTGTGTGTCATTAAACCAGAGTTCTTCTTCACCCTCAATCTAGAGTCCTGTCTCTTATTGGGGGAATTGCTATATCATGCTCTGCATGCTCCCTTGGATAATCACTTGTAAGCTCTTGTAAGAGCTGGTTCCTGCTTCACTCTCTTGGAGGAGAGGTTCACCCACTGGAACCTGGAGCCTTGTCGTAGGTCCAGGGTGGATAGGAGACGGTGAGACCCCAACCAAGCTGTGGCGGTTCGTGGGGTCTGTGGTGGTTGTGGTGTCTGCGGAGCACTTGGAGCCCTCTGTAAGCATTAGGAGCATCATTCAATGGAGGTACCCAGTCGGGGTGCCAGGTAATCCATTACAGAAAGTTCAGTGTCTGCATGCAGAGGAGACACTGAATGTTTGGATGCATTTTAGGCAGCCATGACCCAGGAAGGATCTCTAACAGCTATCTGAGGAGTGGCCAGTGAAGTTATCACTAGGCTGTAATGTAAACACTGCTTTTTCTCTGAAAATACAGTGTTTACAGCAAAAAGCCTGAATGTAATGATTCTACTCACCAGAACAAATGCAATAAGCTGTAGTTCTGGTGACTATGGTGTCCCTTTAATTAGTTTGCCAAGAGAGGCAGTATAAAGAGAGAACAGAAGGGGACCAAGAACAGATCCTTGGGGGACTCCAACCAAGACAGGGTTAGAGGAGGAGGTGTCATTGCAAAAGGAGACACTGAACAAACGTTGGGGGAGATAGGAGGAGAACCACAAGAGGACAGTGTCACCAAGAACACGGGATTGAAGAGTTTGGAGGAGGAGGACATGATCAACAGTGTCAAAGACAACAGAGAGGTCAAGAAGAATTAGTATGGACTAGTGGCCTTTGGATTTAGCTGTGATTAGGCCATTTGCAACTTTAATAAGAGCAGTCTCAGTAGAGTGGAGGTGGCGAAAGCCAGATTGAAGTGGATCGAGGAGGTAGTTGGAATTTAGGAAGTGAGTCATACTAGTAAAGACAAGTCTTTCTAGACATTTTGAGGAAAAAGGAAGTAAAGATATGGGACGATAGTTGGAGGGGGAAGACGGGTCTAGGGATGGCTTTTTTAGGATGGGTACGACAGTAGCATAACACAACACCAGATGAATGAGAGCAGTTTGAGAGAGCAGTATTACATGCAGAGTGTATGTTTGTGTGGTGGATGTGGTGTGTATAGTGAATGCAGAGTATATGTTTGTATACTGGATGTAGTGTGTATAGTGAATGCAGATTGTGTTTGTATAGTGGATGTAGTGTGTGTATAGTGAATGCAGAGTGTGTGTTTGTGTAGTGGATGTAGTGTGTGTATAATGAATGCAGAGTGTGTGTTTGTGTAGTGGATGTAGTGTGTGTATAATGAATGCAGAGTGTGTGTTTGTGTAGTGGATGTAGTGTTTGTGTGTATTAGATGCTGTGTGTATAGTGAATGCAGAGTGCATATAGTGAATGCAGAGTGTGTGTTGTATAGTGGATGTAGTGTGTGTAGTGAATGCAGAGTGTGTGTTTGTGTAGTGGATGTAATGAATGCAGAGTGTGTAATGAATGCAGAGTGTGTTTGTGTAGTGGATGTGGTGTGTATAATGAATGCAGTGTGTGCATTTGTGTAAGGACGAAGTGTATGTTTGTGTGGTGGATGCAGTGTGTATAGTGAATGCAGAGTATATGTTTGTATACTGGATGTAGTGTGTGTATAGTGAATGCAGAGAGTGTGTTTGTGTAGTGGACGTAGTGTGTGTGTAGTAAATGCAGAGTGTGTGTTTGTGTAGTGGATGTAGTGTGTGTATAATGAATGCAGAGTGTGTATTTGTGTAGTGGATGTAGTGTGTGTATAATGAATGCAGAGTGTGTGTTTGTGTAGTGGATGTAGTGTTTGTGTGTATTAGATGCTGTGTGTATAGTGAATGCAGAGTGCATATAGTGAATACAGAGTGTGTGTTGTATAGTGGATGTAGTGTGTGTAGTGAATGCAGAGTGTGTGTTTGTGTAGTGGATGTAATGAATGCAGAGTGTGTAATGAATGCAGAGTGTTTGTGTAGTGGATGTGGTGTGTATAGTGAATGCAGTGTGTGCATTTGTGTAAGGACGAAGTGTATGTTTGTGTGGTGGATGTAGTGTGTATAGTGAATGCAGAGTATATGTTTGTATACTGGATGTAGTGTGTATAGTGAATGCAGAGTGTGTTTGTATAGTGGATGTAGTGTGTGCATAGTGAATGCAGAGAGTGTGTTTGTGTAGTGGATGTAGTGTGTGTGTAGTAAATGCAGTGTGTGTGTTTGTGTAGTGGATGTAGTGTGTGTATAATGAATGCAGAGTGTGTATTTGTGTAGTGGATGTAGTGTGTGTATAATGAATGCAGAGTGTGTGTTTGTGTGTATTAGATGCTGTGTGTATAGTGAATGCAGAGTGCATATAGTGAATGCAGAGTGTGTGTTGTATAGTGGATGTAGTGTGTGTAGTGAATGCAGAGTGTGTGTTTGTGTAGTAGATGTAATGAATGCAGAGTGTGTAATGAATGCAGAGTGTTTGTGTAGTGGATGTGGTGTGTATAGTGAATGCAGTGTGTGCAATTGTGTAAGGACGAAGTGTGTGTATAGTGACTGCATAGTGTATTTTTGTGTAGTGCAGGTAGTGTTTGTGAGTGTTAGATGCAGTGTATAGTGACTGTAGAGGGCGTATAGTGAATGCAGAGTGTTTGTGTAGTGGATGTAGTGTGTATAGTTAATGCAGTGTGTGTGTGAAGATGTAGTGTGTGTAAATGTTATGTAAAATTTTGTTGTGGGGCTGCATACAGTTGGGCTGGGGAAACAGCATCTTTGTTGTTGTTTTTTCATTTATTATAATACATTTTGTTTTATTCCCACCTCCCTGCTTCTTACTGCCTGACCGCAGGGCTCGCAAGACTCAGAGAGAGAAGAGCAGCTAAGAAGTGGAGGTGGAGTGTGCAGGTACAAACAAGAGGTGGCTGCACTTCTGCTTTTTTTCTCTTGCCCCACCACTTGCCCACTTGATCCTGTCCCATCTCACCTTATCAGATCTCTCTCCCCTTGTCTTGTGCCATTCTTAACTCACATTTTCAACTGCTCTCTCTTCTGTCATTGGCCCTACTGCCCTTAAACATCCCACTGTAGTACCCATCCTGAAAAAATCATCTCGACCCGTCCTCCGCTTCCAACTTTCGAACCATATCCCTGCTCCCTTTTTTCTCAGAGCTGGAAAGTCTTTACTGTCTGGCTGACTTCCTCAATTCCAACGCTCTCCTTGACCCTCTTTCAGTCTGGCTACCGCCCCTCCACTCTTATCAAAGTTACTAACAACCTAATCGCAGCTAAATCAAAGGCCACTACTCCATACTAATTCTTCTTGACCTCTCTGCTGCCTTTGACACTGTTGATCATGTTCTCCTTCTTCACACTCTTTAATCACTCAGTCTGTGTGACACTGTCCTCTCATGATTTTTCTCCTATCTCTCACAACGCTCATTCAGTGTCTCCTAACGATACATCCTCCCTTCGTCCTGTCTCGGTTGGAGTCCCCCAAGGACCCATTCTTTTTTCTCTTTACACTGCCTCTCTTGATAAACTTATCACCTCATTTGGATTCCACTACCTCCTGTATGCCGATGACACCCAGATATATCTCTCGTCCCCGGACCTTTCCCCCGCTGTCCTGCAACATGTCACTGCTTGCCTTTCTTCCATCTCTGACTGGATGTCCTTCAGCTTTCTGAACTGAACTCCTTGTTTTTCCTCCTTCTAATACTGATCCTCCTCTTTGCTCTCCCTTCAAGTTAGTGGTACCCACATCAGTCCATCCTTGCAAGCATGCTGTCTTGGCATTTTACTTGATTCTGGCCTCACCTTTGAGTCTCACATCCAGTCTTTTACCAAATCCTGTAGATTCCACATTAAAAACATAGCCCACATCCGCCCCTTTCTTACACAAGATATTACTAAGGACCTTGTCTGTGCTTTAATAATCTCTTGCATAGATTATTGTAACCCTCTCCTAATAGGTCTTCCAAAAAAGCTGTATTGCCTTGCTACAGTCTGTAATCAATGCCTCACCCCTCTGTCATTCCTTACATTAGCTTCCTGTATCATATAGGAGTCAATTCAAAGTACTAATCCATACCTATAAAGCATTGAACAATTCTAGCCCCTCCTACATCTCTTCACTGATTCATAGGTATGCTCCTTCTCGATCTCTACGCTCTGCTCATGACCTTCTCGTGAGTTTCGTCCGGATGGGCGGAAATTAAGAAGATCATGCGTTCCATTTTGCGTTCCAAAAACAAACTAAATCGAAATCAACATTTAAACCTCTTGGTTTTCTAGTTTTCAGTGTATGAATCCAATAACCCTCTCTTTTTCTTAAATCCATCATAAGGTCACCTCCTCTTTCATTTAGAAAAGGAAAGTAAAAGTCAGGTTTCAAGAGCACAGAAATAATATTAAAAAAGGTCTACTATCCCATTCAGTACCTGTACATTTCAATAATTGTCCCATGTTTAATTTTGATACCTTTAAGTGTACAGCTATAGAACAGGTAATTCTAAATGAGAGAAGAGGTGACCTTATGATTGCTTTAAGAAAAAGAGAGGGTTATTGGATTCATACACTGAAAACTATGAAACCAAGAGGTTTAAATGTTGATTTCGATTTAGTTTGTTTTTTATGATCTACTGTCTTTTTAATTGAGCTAATACTATTCTTATTATGTTTTTCTTTTATGCATTCTGATTTAAGACTATTATTATTATTGCTTTTTATTATTTTGCTTTATTTAAATTGAATTTGTTTTTATATATATATATTAAGTTTTTTCTGTCGGCCATGCTACACTCAGTGACCGGCAGGAGTGTGGTGGTAGCGCCCAGGGCTGCCATCAGAAACTTTAACAAAAATAGAGATGCATGCAATGTATTAAATGCTTCAGATTATGCATTGTGCATGTCATTTGACCTTATGAGATTAAATATACCTGTTACTTGTTGGAGATACACCTTACAGTTACAGTTAAAGAGCGTAAGTGCTGTAGCAACTCCACATACCCTGGAACAAGGTTATGTGCGCCGAGTAATATGATCATAATAAACTGGCTGCTCAATTTAAGATTTTTACACTTTATTTACATGGCAAAGATTGTGATATGAGTAAGGGATGCCTAATGGTGTTTATATCTCTCAATTTCCTTGGTTCTTTGCATGTTTCAATATGTTTGGAGTCACATTTGGATTATTTTTCACTATATTTTATAAATATATATATTTCTAATAAGTGGGGTAATAGCTACTCGATCCAAGGAGATATCTGACTGCCATTTTGGGGTCAAGAAGGAATTTCCTAGTTTTTGCCTTCTTCTGGATCAACAGCAAAAACATATGTGAGGAAGGCTGAACTTGATGGATGCAAGTCTCTTTTCAACTATGTAACTATGTAAGTATTAAGTACTTTATCAGGTTGAGGGATTCGTGTGTTATAGATTGAGGATTTCCATCTCCCCAGTATCTTGATGCACTGAGGTGTCAACACAGTTGTTTTATGAAATATAAATTTGGAGGTATTAAGCGGGTATCCTTGAAGTAAGACCAGAGGTGAATTAATCAGGTATAAATCTATTATTAACTGGGCATCAGTTATTGTTAGTGGGAAATAGCAGGATTGTGGATGGATGGTTGGATTGGTTAGTTTGTTTGAAGGGTAAGAACATACTTAAGACTTAAGTAAGCCTCTGTCTGACGTACTACTTTGAATTCTCTGGGCCTCAAGAATCCGTAGAGAGCTATGTATGTAGTTGTTGTATCACATTGTTGTTATGACTCTTGAATAGGTTAGTATCCAGCGGTTGGAGAGGGCTCTGAATATACGGCTGTCTATTTGCGGTATGGGCTTTATCAGTTTATTGCTATATTTGAGTATGCTTTGATGGGATAAGATGTGAGATATGGGTGTGCTAGGGATAGGTGGTAAACAAATACAATCCTGACAAACTGACTTGCATAAAATTCTTATTCCTGTTGAAAGGGATATCAACAGGAATAGCTGAATAAAAACTGGCAAAAGATGCTGGTGATATATATTTTCAATGTTAGGATAAACCTGTATTTCAACCATCAACATGTTTGTTTTTTCTTTTATATGTTTGAAATTGGAAAAATATAGTTTTACATTTGGATATATTAAATCTCACACTTGCAAATAAAACAAGTTCTCAGTTTAGAGAAAAACATCTTTTAACTGGTGTTTTTAACCCATTACAAAAAAAAAATCTGCAGATCCAGACAGTATCTTACAGTCTATTTACAATCTAGCTGATATGTGCATGTTCTTGTTACTTACATGTTGCTTCCATTAACTCTGTGCCTCTTCTGTTAAAAGACCGAGCAGCTGTGAACTGGATAACTGGTCCTCCTCTACCCAAAACGGAGCCAAACATGTTTCTAAGTGACAAAAAGATATATAATAAAAAACACATTCTAACAGGTACCAGACTCAAAGTGTTTTAAAGGTGAACTGTCACTTCTTTGTAATTTACATCTTTGAATAAAAAATTCTAAATCACCTAAAACGTATTAATCTTTATTTCATGAGAGGCACCATTTTCCTTTAAATCATTATTAAAGGGTTACTCCAACATCCATGACCACTTTTGCTTTTAGAAGTGGTCATGGTGGTAGGAGACTGGATGTGCAGCAAATTACATACAGTGTAATTTGCACTTGTGTGCCGGCAGCTAGTTGAACCCCCAGCACACATGACATTGGCAGCCAAGAACTCTGTTCCATGCTAATGTCAATTCTGTGCATATTTTATATCTGTTGACAGCCCGGACAGAATGATGGCAATAGACGTAATTTGATTATTCCCTTGTTTTCTGTGAGAGGAGTCTTATGTGTCCCCTTGCTCTTGCCTCCTGGTCACATTGTTCAAATATTTTTGCAGACTTCCTTCCTCCTCACACCCCTCTTGCCAGCTCAGAGTGCGTGCATGTGCCCTGTGCCAGGTTAATGGTCCAATCCAAAGCTTCTCTATGAGCCAAGATTGAGGTGCCCGGTTATTATTATTATTATTATTATTATTTATATAGCGCCAGCAAAATCCGTAGTACTGTACAATGGGTGGAATAACAGACACCGAATTGTAGCCAGACAAATGGACGCACAGGAACGGAGGGGTTGAGTGCCCTGCTCAATGAGCTTAGATGCTAGAGGGAGTGGGGTATAGTGACACAAAGGGCATAAGTAGGGGTAATGATATAGGTTGCTTAAAAAGTAATCAATGAGAACTTAACAGGTTATTTTTGACAGTTGAAGAAGAGGAGTCATGGAGGGGGATAAAAACCCGTTAACAGTTTAAATGATTCTGAAGAAGTGTGTTTTCAAAGATTTTTTGAAGGAGTGGAGACTGGGCAAAAGTCTAACGGAGAAGGGAAGGTAGTTCCACAGAAACAGTGCAGCCCTGGAGAAGTCTTGGAGACGAGCATCAGATGTGGGAGTACAGTCAGAGGATAGGCGTAGGTCTTCGCCAGAGCACAGGGGCCTTGACGGGACATATTTGTGTATTAGGGAGAATAGGTAGATTAGAGCAGCATTAGGTAGGAACTTAAAATGAATCACCAAAATCTTAAATTGAGCCTTATATCTAACTGGAAGCCAATGTAGGGACTAGCAGAGGGGGGAGGCGTGGGAGGTGTGGGCGGATAGGAAATTTGATCCAGGTCCAGTTCACCGGTGGACTGCGCGCTCGGGATCATCCTCCCTTCAAAGAGCCTTTGAAGGGAAGATGATCCCGAGCGTGCAGCCCCCCAGTTAACTGGACCTGGAGCAAATCCACATACAACGCACAACGTACACAGAGGGATTACTTACGTTCAAACGGATATCCCTTATGAGCTTGTTGAAGTGAATGGTCTTTATGACACACACTACCTGCTACTTCAACATTCAAATACCCTGCTTCAACTGAATTTGGTGAGATCCTAACAATCTTTTTTACATATTTTCTTTATTTTCTTTTTGAGTACTCAGAAGATCTTACATATAGAGACTTTTTTTTGCGGATTTTTTCCACATTTTTGTTTCCTGCAGTAATTAATTATTTTTTGTCTTTTATAGAGACTCTGCTACCATTTTAGGCAGGACTATTTTCCTTATATTTAGTACGGGGTATGGTAGGATGTATCACAAGCATATTTTGCTTAACTTCGATCCATAACAGGGCCAGGATCCAGGTTTGATGAACTATTCCCCAAAAATATTTTGATGAATTTGCTCTGATTTTTGTACATAATTTTTCATGATCAAGACTTTGGGATAAACTATTGTTGTTTTTTTATCTATATATATGATACTTGTACAGCCAATAGTGTATGTAATATGAATTCAGGTTTTTTTTTTTTACCAATGAAATATTTGTGTATATAGATGAATTTTCATGTGAATTGATTGCCTTTAATATTTTTGTTTACACTATCCATTAAATCATTTTTGATTTTTTGAGCAATATTTTGGAGTGTGGTATCATTCCTTTTTTTAATTTTTTATATTTTCATGTTGGGGTTAATATAGGTGGGTAACCCTGATACCTGCATCCTTCTGCAGGTTTGAGTGCAAACATACATTTATATTTTTCATATAAATGATCATGGAAGTCAAAGGAGCTGATGAGTTTACCGATGGAGGCAGTATAGATAGAGAACAGTAGGGGACCAAGGACAGAACCTTGGGGAACGCCAACAGAGAGGAGTTGGGGAGAAGAGACAGAGCCAGAGAAAGAAACACTGAAAAAAGTCTGGAAGAGATTGGAGGAGCACCAGGAGAGAGCAATATCCCAAAGACTGAGATTACGGAGAATAAGAAGAAGCTGTTGATGATCAACAGTTTAAAAGGCATTAGAAAGATCAAGGAGAATTAGGAAAGAGTAATGGCAGCGATTAAATAGTTGGATACTTTGGTCACAGCTGTTTCAACAGAGTGACGAGCGCAGAATCCAGAATGAAGCGGGTCAAGCAGAGAGTTGGATTCGAGGAAGTCTGTCAATCTCGCATACACAACTCTCTCAAGGATCTTGAATGCAAAAGACAGTAGCGATATAGGGCGGTAGTTGGATGGGGAGTTGGGGTCAAGGTTGGGCTTTTCAGAATCGGCGTTATGCTTTAAGGGTCAAGGAAATGTGCCGGAGAAAAGGGAGATATTGAAAATATTAGTGAGAGGAAGAGCAAGAGAGGGAGATGAGATATAAGGAAATAGGATAAGTGTCACGGGAGTTGTACCCCAACACACAGGAAAGAGGAAACCCACAAAAAGTAGATTTGAAAGACGTATTACCGAACTTTAGAATAGCCGGACTTAACATATTAATACAACAAGAAACAGGGTCACGATAAATCAAGGTGAGGATTGCAAAAATACTCAGTCAAGACAAAGCCGGGTCAGGATACCAGAAAATAACGAGTCAAATACATAGCCGGGTCAGGATACCAAAAATCATGAGTCAAAAACGAAGCCGGGGTCAGGATTCCAGCAATCAGGAGTCAAATACGATGCCGGGATCAGGATACCATAAATCAGGAGTCAAATACGAAGGCAAGATCAAACACAGGAAATCACAAGGGAATCGCTAGGAGCACTAAATGGGGATCTAAATAGGCTCAAAAGAGTTCCCATTGGTTCACTTCATCTAAGCGAGCCCAAACAGCATTGGATCGCTTAGACAACGTGGTCCATTTAAGGTAATGATGTCATGGCTTCATATATTATTTCTAGAGGTTGCAGTTCATCCCGAAAACCAGCAGAAGTATTCTATTCAGGCTGTGTGGCCACGTGCAGCATTTGGGCCTCGCGGCCCGAGGAGAGGAGCAGCGCGGGCGCCGATTAAAAGTAAGTATGTGTAACATATTCTTCCTCACCTTGCGGTCTCTGCGCCTGCATGACTGACACTTGCGGCATGCTAATGGACGCCGGCCATACCTAGTATGATGTTTGCATCCAGATTCCTGGGCCCCATTTGTATCCTTCGGGGAATTAACCCTGTGTCATATTCTCTGGCCCTCCCGGACCTATATTTTTACTTTATATTTTTATTTTAAATATTACTGTGTTTGTGTGCTATAACCTTTCTCTTTTTGTATGGATACTGTCCCATGCATCCCCCCTCCTCCCTTGGTTGTTTCTGGACAGGAGGAGTATGAGGTCTCCTCCATAATTGATTCCAGGTTTTCTCGGGGCACTTTGCAGTACTTAGTTGTTTGTAAGGGTTATGGGCCTGCCGACTGTTCTTGGGTTCCGGCCTCTGACTTACATGCTTGCCACAAGATCAGCTATTTTCATGCTAAATTTCCTCTCAAGCCTGGTCTTGCCTGTCTGGTGGGTGGTCTTCAGGTGGGGGGTAATGTAACATAGTCTTCCTCACCTTGCGGTCTCTGCACTCAGCGGCTGTGCATCTGCATGACTGACACTTGCGGCATGCTAATGGACGCCGGCCACTGGGGATCCAATTAAACCCCCACGTCTGCTCAGGTGATTGACAACGTCGGCATGCGCGCGACGTCATGCACGCGCCACACACGCACGTTTTGGGGTCAAAGATCGATCTCGGCCAATCAGAAAGGTAAAGCAGGTATTTAAACCCAAAATTACCTTTCCTCATTGCCCTGTCGAGGTTTCCCTAGTGGTTGTCCGAGAGTGCGTTCCTTATTCAAGGATTTTCTGGTTTTTGACTTTGGCTTTGACTTTCCTGTATTCTGGTATCCCTGACTTCTGGCTTTCCCTTTTCGTTGTGTCTCTTTCTGTATCCCCTGACCTAGGCAAGTATCCTGACGACTCTTTAATACGTTAAGTCCGGCCATCCTAAGGCTCGGTGACACAATTCTACATGCTGGATCAACTAGTAATCCTGACAGTATGTGACAATAAGGAGGTGTGAATTTACACTGAATTTATTATTTCACACCTTACTAATATGTATTTGTTAAATATAGTGATAAACATACACTCTGTTTCAAATTATTATGCAAATTCTATTTAAGTGTCATAAAGATTAAATACTTTGTTTTTCAGTTTAACTCATGGATGGCATTGTGTCTCAGGGCTCTTTTTATCATTGAAAACAATCTCGGACACCTGTGATAATTAGATTGCCAGGTGAGCCCAATTTAAGGGAAAACTAGGAGGGTGTTCCATATTATTAAGCAGAGCACCATAGTTTAATGCTTTGGATGAGATATGAAAACATTAGATATTTCACGAAAACTTAAGCGTGATCATCGCACTATTCAGAGCACAGACATGTTCGTGCAGATAAAGGCACATTGAGGAAGATTTCTGCCAGATCCATCCATCGGATCAAGAGAGCAGCTGTTAAAATACCATTACACACGGCCACCCTGTTCCAACAAGGCTGCGACGTCAGCAAGGCGGTGGTGGAGTCATGTTTTGGGCCAGAATCATGGGAAGAGAGCTGGTCGGCTCCTTTAGGGTCCCTGAAGGTGTAAAGATGACCTCTGCAAAGTATGTGGAGTTTCTGACTGACCACTTTCTTCCCTGGTACATTTCACGCATGACAATGCACCATCTCATGCTGCAAAGAATACCTCTGCATCAATAGCTGCTATGGTGATAAAAGGAGAGAAAGTCATGGTGTGGCCTCCATCCTCCCCTGACCTCAATACTATTGAGAACCTTTGGAGCATCCTCAAGCAAAAGATCTATGAAGGTGGGAGGCAGTTTACATCCAAAGAGCAGCTCTGGGAGGCTATTCTGACATCTTGCAAACAAATTCAAGCAGAAACTGTCCAAAAACTCACAAGTTCAATGGATGCAAGACTTGCGAAGCTGCTATCAAATAAGGGGTCCTATGTTAAAATGTAACATGACCTGTTAAAATGTTGTTATAAGTTTGATTGAAATAGCTTTTGATTTCAGTAAATATGCTGCCAACACAACAAATGACAATTTTCAGTTCTTTACAACCTATAAAGTGTTTTGAAACTTACTATGCTTAATAATTTGGAACAGTGCATTGGAACAGTGCATTGTAAGTTTTTTATGTTTAAAAAAAATACTGTTATCATTAGGAGGTTTGTTCAATAAAATTTGAATTGTACTCTTAATAGTTGATAACATGAGAATTATGCTGACTGTTATTTACATCAATTATTTAGGTAAATGAGAAAAATATCATTTGCATAATAATTTGGAATAGGGTGTACATGATATAAAAAATTCTTGGAAGTGACGGTTCCTATTTAAAAAGCTTTAAGGATGCAAAAATATGGAATTACTATTTTTCTAGATTGTAGACATAATGCAAAAATGTACTGGGAAGCAAATCAGTGATGATGTCGAGCAGCAAGTAATGCACATTAAGTCCCAAATCTCTGACACATTTAAAGCAACTTTGGAATCACGAACTTCAACAAGGTCCTATTCTAGGTATATCCTTTACTAAATTTAAAACCAAAACATTTGGTGACACAAGGCTAGTCATCATCATAAAGCATGAATGCATGCACTTAAATTAATTGTACAACTAATACTTCTACTGCAGTCCTTAAATTAACACTCCAAGTACCATAACCAGTAGAACTTTCTGTAGTGCTTATAATGCCAGGAGTGCTCTGGCCCCTTGCCCCTCTAAGTAGTCAAGTGTTTAGGGGTTCCTTTAAATATACAGTATACAATTTTAATATATCACTGTTTTGTATCTCAAGAAAGAGGTGTCATACCCAAAGCGAGTTTCTTTTCTTCTTTTTCTAAGAAAGATGAGTGTCATGGCCACAACTGTAACTAAAGCAGTAAGGATGCCCAAAACCATCGGGACCCAGGACATTCTTGTAAGAGTTTGTCTTTGCTTACCTAAATGAATAAAGCATAGTCAGTCAGTCTGGAACAGCAGGCTCACAAGAAGATAGACAGTAGACAGAAATAGACAGTAAAGCTAATGACATTTTAACATACAGTGAAATACAGTAAGAACGACAGGTCTAAAAACACCCAAATACCTACATGTTCACTCACACTCAATACAACAAACATATATACATCTAGATCCATTGTAAGGCAATTTATTTTATTTTGCAAAGTCTATGGTTCAAGCAATCATTGATTGCCATTATTCAGATTAATAAAAAAAGAGTCAAATGAAGTGCACTGCCCTACAGAACTTGATGCTCAAGGTAAGGTACTTCATGTGAATAGAAAATTCAACAGTTAATGAATATTTTCCAAATTCAGGATAACTTAAATATCTTCAATTCATTCTGGATAAACTATTAAAAGTTAAAAAAGGCAAAGTAATCCATTGTGGGGACACTAAATTTGTCCTTGATTATGATTTAGATACAACCAGCAAACAACTCCATAGATCGGATTGTAATTCCACTTCAAGGACCGCATTGACTTATTCAAAGCTGATTCATTCGTATGAAGGGTGTCTCATTCTAGAGAGAAAGGGTTTAACTATTTTTTAGCGGTGTTCAACATGTACTCCAGGATAGATAGATTCTGAGTTAACTAGCCGGCTTTGGACGCTGTTATTAAATCAGAAATATTACCAACTGACTGGTCCGATCATGCTCCAATCATTATGTACTTAAGAGTAACATACGCTAAGATTCCTAACAAGATTATGGAAACTAGGAGATCACTTACTGCATGGACCAGAAAATATTCAATTAGCAGAAGTAGCTATTGAAAATTATTTTGAAATTAACACCACCACTGAACCTACATGCGAGACATTTTGGTATGATCATAAAGCAAACATAAGAGGCCACTTTCTGCAAAGGGCATCATATGTTAAAAAGAAAAGCATCTAATTATTTACTCACCTTAGAGAAGGAATATTACACTTTGCAGCAAGCCAATACATTTGGCCTATCTAAAAGTCTAGCAGGATGAGGGCTGGTGTAAGGGTTTTTGCCACCCTAGGCAAACACAATTTTGCTGCCCCATTTGCTCCACGCACTCATGCAGACTGACATACACTTACCCAAGCAAACTGAGACATTGCTCGCCATGTCCTCCTCAAAACACAGAGGTAGAGGCCCCACACATGCAACAGTTAAGTGGTCTGGATAGTGTGGCAGTGAGTTAGCAGTTCCAAAAGGTTCCGGAGTAGAATAAAAGATGCTTAGATAATAAGAATCCCAAGTCTCCATTCTCAGGAAGGGCAAGAAAGGAGCAAAAGAAGAGATACTAAGGTCACATGCAGGGTTAAGGCCGTCTTTGCAGAACCAGGAGCTCAGATATAAATGCAAACTTGAACATGGAAGGTAATAGCAACCAGAAGCACGGGATAATCCTCACTGCCCAGGGATATTGAAGTGGGGCTGCAGCTAGAACCATCAGGGTCCTCCAGACAGTTAGACACCAGATTCAGTGATAGGAACATCGGATTGTTTCATTAAGAGGATGCTGTACATAGCCAGCCACTTCTCCAAGGCTGCAGTAAGACAGGCTCATGGTAAAGAAGTAGGCTGAATGTGTTGGCATCTCCATGCGTTTAGGGCAATCAATTTCAAGCTTCAAGGTGAGCTGGGAAGTTTCCCCAGTCAAAACCAACAAGTAATCAAATGTATAATTGTCACATATTCATCCTCACCTTGTGGTATCTGCAGTAGTAATTGCCTTCCTGACAAAAACGAAAGTGCCACTCAGCTGCCCTGCGCCAGTATACCTGACTCCTGCAACATGTTGGTGGACGCCGGCTGCTGCAGATCCACGCCATTTTATAGCCCCACGTCCGCCCATGGTAATGACGACATCAATGTGCGTGTGATGTCATGCAAAAGACGCGCACGCACATTTTGGGATCAAAGGCTGGTTACGGCCAAACTAATTTGTAGGAGGCTTAAACTCATTTTTATTTTACTCATTGCCCTGTCGTGGTTTCCCTTAGATGGTTATCCGAGAGTTCATTCCTGATCGTGTATTTCTGGTTATTGACTATGGTTTCGTTTTGACTTCCCTGACTTCTGGTATCCTTGATTATTGGCTTTCCCTTATCACTGTGTCCCTGACCTTGGTTGTATATTGGCTATTCTTAGGTACGTTAAGTCCGGGCCATTCTAAGGTCCGGTTAGACATTACCCTTAGTCCTAGGTGTGACACAATTCTGCGTGCTGGATCAACTGACATTACGACATGGTCATAGATCCTGCAGAATTGTGTCAGCTTCTTACTCGGATGGCTCATTTACAGCCTGAGGTCCCGCCAATTATCTCACCTCCACCTGACCTATAGTATATAAGGCACCTGCGATCTCCCTATCTCCTCCCCTGCAATTTGATGGTAATATTCAAGAATGCCGGGGATTTCTCAATCAAATCGAGTACCACTATGAGGCCACTTTGATCTTTTCCCACAGATAGAGCTAAAATCGGGTACCTGATGAGCCAACTTAAAGGTAAAGCCTTAACTTGGGCCAATCCGTTATGGGAGAGTAATAGGAGTATTGCGTATAACTACCAGGAATTCCTTGCAGAATTTAAATTAACATTTGAACCATTAGGCAGGGAGGATGATGCCTCCACTGCCCTTATGCATATCAAACAAGGGAACCGCTCTCTCTCAGATTATGCCATAGAATTTAGAACCTTGGCCTCTGAGGTAGACTGGACTAATAGCAGATTGATCTCTGCAGTTAAAGAAAGATTATCCAAGGCAATTCTTGATGAAATTGCTGCCAAAGACCTACCTAAGAGGTTAAATGAATTCATCACATATGTGATGCAGTTTGATAACAGACTTAGGGCCAGGGAAATTACTAGAAATAGAACCAGACATATGGCTATGTCACTGGCACCTCGTTTCTCCAAACCTATTATCCCTGACCTCTCTATACAGTCCGAACCCGAACCCATGCAGTTAGGGGTCATTAGACTGTCAGAGGCAGAGAAACAGTACAGGAGAAAGGAGGGTCTGTGTTTTATACTGTGGTAAAAAAAGGACATATGAGAAGTGCTTGTCCCATACGTCCGGAAAACATCCGCACCTAAGAACCTTAAGGGGGCAAGTCTTAGGTGTGATGGATACGTCCTCTGGTAATAACCAAAATAGATTTCTCCTTGACATCACTGCCCTTTGCAACAAGAAAAGTATTTCATGCAAAGCCCTGATGGATTCAGGTGTGGCAGGAAACTTATTGACATGCATTTAGTTAAAAACACTTAGTACCTATTCCTTAATAACTGGCTGCTGAGGCTTAAGGAAGATCATGAGTGGAAAACAGCATTTAACACTAGAAGTACCTTGTCATGCCCTTCGGGTTATGCAATGCTCCAGCTGTATTTTAGGACTTTATTAATGATGTACTCAGAGACTATATTTACTCCTTTGTTCTAGTATACCTGGATGATATCCTTTTTTATTTCCCTGACCTTCAGACTCATCACAAACATGTCAAACAAGTGCTGCAAACCTTGCTGAGCGGCGGGTTAGGGCCCTAATGTAAAATAATGGGGGGGGGACCTATTGTCCTCCCCTGGGCCCCACCCCTGAGTGGTGGGTGAGGGCCCTAATGTAAACCAATGGGGAGGACCTCTTGTCCTCCTCCCGGGCCCCTACCCCTGAGCAGTGGGTGGGGGCTCTAAATCAGAATAAGGGCTAAGGTCCTCCCCCCTGACCCCCACACCTGAGCGGTGGGTGTGGGCCCTAAATTATAATAAGGGGAGGGACCTAATGTCCTCCCCCCTGGCCCCCACCTCTGAGCGGTGGGTGGGGGCCCTACAATAAAATAAGGGGGGACCTAATGTCCTCCCCCCTGGCCCCCACTCCTGAGCAGCGAGTGGGGGCCCTAAATACCAATAGGGGGGACACCTATTGTCCTTCCCCCGGCCCCCACCCCTGAGCGGCGGGTGGGAGCCGTAAAAAAAATGTTAACCCCCCTCCCAGGTGACTAGGGGTCCCCAAACCCCTACTCATCCCCCCCCCCAAAAAAATAACCCACTACCCACTTTAACTAAGTACCTGTAAAAAATAAATAAAACTTACCATTCAATGATTTCTTTCTTCTAAAATCTTATTTTTTCAGCCCCAAAAAAGGCCAAATAAAAAACCATAATAAACGACACACTTACAAAAAAAAAAAAAAAGGAGCACAAAAAAAGAAATAATCCATCTTCACCCATGGAGGGCTCCGCACAGAATGAGCTCTGCAGGGCGGGGGAAGGCTTATAAAGCCTTGCCCTGCCCTGCAATTAGGCTCAGAGCACTCTGATTGGTGGGTTTAAGCCATCCAATCAGAGTGCTCTGACAGGTAAATGAAGAGACTGACAGGTAAGTCTCTACATTTACCTGTCACAGCACTCTGGTTGGTTTGAAATCCACCAATCAGAGTGCTCTGTGCCATTTTACACAGCGTAGGAAAGTTCTTTGGAATTTTCCCACGCTGTGTAATTTGACTCATAACTCTCTGATTGGTGGATTAAGTAACCAATCAGAGAGTTATTAGTCAAATTACACAGTGTGGGAAAATTCCAAAGAACTTTCCCACGTTGTGTAAAATGATACAGAGCACTCTGACTGGTGGATTTCAAATCAACCAATCAGAGTGGCCAATCAGAATGGCCAATCAGAGTGCTCTGAGCCTAATTGCAGGGCGGGTTAAGGCTTTAGAGCCGACGCTCTTATTCTAGTTTACAATAAAGACCATTAACAAGAAGGGTTTTCAAAACTGTTTTAACATGCATGTGATGAGTATGCAAATCCGTTGAATATATTAACATGTCGTCCAAGTACACTATTACAAATGTGTGAATAAACTCTCGTAAAACGTCATTAATAAATTCTTGAAACACTGCTGGGGCGTTACAAAGACCAAATGGCATCACAGTATATTCGTAATGACCACTCCTA